TGGGTGGGAGCCAGTGACTTCATGCAGCTGGCCTCAACACTACAGCACCAGAACCCCTGAACACACCCAGCCTGGGTAGGGGTGTGGGAGGAGGAAGTGGAGCCCCTCCTCCAAAGAGCCTGGGATCAGGGGTCAGGCCACCCCTTGGGACAGCAGAGAGTAGTCCATTCTTTCCAGTTTGGCCAAACTTGTGTGGTGCATAGGAGGAGCCAAAAGTGACTCTAAAGAATGTAAGGAAATCAGTGGTGCAAGGGGTTCCCCAGGTCAGGCCTTGAGGACAATAAATGCTGAGCCCCTTCCTCAGGAAAAGAAAGGTGTTTCCATCCATAGGCCACTAGTTGTGCCTGCCCTGATCCCTGTCCCTTCCCCCATTCCTTGAGCTAGCCAGCTACCACCAGGTCAACCCTGTGGTCCCTGTCTTGCCTGGTGCTCCTGAATTTCCACTGCCTGCCCCTTCAGAGACTGAAATGACCGGCCCCCCATCACACTGCCCACCCAGCTCCAGCCCCTCTTCCCCTAATCCAGCCCACCCTCCCTTCAGCAGCCTAGACCAGGAGAAAGCAGTTCCCATGACAACGGCCAGGACACCAGCTCCAGATGGGGGGTTATCAAAGCCACTATGCTGCACAGAGCTGCAGGTCCGTGGGTGGGGTCTGGGGAGGGCCAGAGGGAATGGACTCCAGGCAGCCAGGAGAGATGACTTGGCTGGAAACTTGCTTGCTGTGTGACCCTAGATGGTCACTCTCCCCTGAGCCATAGCTCCCCACCCCACTCTAAGAATAGACAGATGAGGCCTGTTTCATCAGGTGGACAGAAAGATTGTTGATCCCAACAACAACAGCAAACCCTTGGTAGGGATCCACCCATGGAAAGGTCACTAATTGAGCTTGTAAGTAGAACAACAACCCCTATCCTTGTGGTATGCAGCACGGTGCCTCAGAAATCTGGGGGAACTGGGAAGCAGCCACTTGCTAGGGTTTGGGGGAGGGTGCCACAGCCCTACAGAGTAAAGTAGTTGGGGACAGAAACTTCTTCACTCTGACTACTCAAGCAGACACCTAACTGAGGTCAAGACTTGATGAAAAGTATTTCTCCTGCCTCTTCAAACACAGTCATGAATGAAACTGATTTTTGGTTGATGGACAGTAACTGCTATCCACCATCCATAAAATACTTGAACTACTTGTTTCGTTTCGTTTTGTTTTGTTTTGTTTTGTTTTTTGAGACAGGTGCACACAGGCCCGGCTCAAAGTTTCAATCCTTCTGTCTTGGCCTCCCGGGACTGGAATTACAGTTGTGTAGCACCATACCCAGCCTATCCTGGAGCAGGAACAGAGCATACCAGCAGGACCACAGGCCAGCTTGCTCACTCACTTAGCAAATCTGCGCTGAAAACACCTGTGTGTGTCCCCAGATGACACTGCCAGAAAGCCACAGGACCAGGGCTCTAGGACTACAAGGACCAAGGGTAGTGAGGAGCTGGGGCCTGAGTTCCAAACCCCAAGACAGGAGCCATGAGAACACCAGGGCTGTGACCAGAGCAGAGAGACCACAGGAAGTGACAGCTCATGGACTGTAAGTGGAGGGGTCTGCAAGCCAGATAAAAGGACCAGCTGTATGCAGATGAGATCTCAGCTGGTGGGGAGGAGAGGGTCCTGGGCATTTCCTGACCCTAATGGAGCCATGAAGTTTCTGGTTCTCATGTAAGAACAGTCAATGTCATCACTGTGACCTAATAAGTAAAACACAGAGCACCATGCAGATCAGCACCTTGCCTTACACCCATCAGCAGAGGAGGCTACCAGACAGTCTCCTGTCCACAGCTGGATAGACAAACAGGCAGGTTCAGAGAATCACAACCTACCTGAGCAGAAGCTCTGGGTACAAACTGCAGGCTGGTCGGGGCTAGAGCTGTCACAAGCCTAGGAGCTAAAGGCTCCAGGAGATCAGTCATGGAGGTCTGGTCCCTTCTTGAGTTTTCCCTGAAAGAGCCCAACCAGATTGTAAAGGGAAGAGGAAAGGAGCCACACTTTTCTGAATACACCACAGCTCTTCACAAATGAGAATTAAAAAACCCAGCAACTCTGCTACCTGGGGAGCTGAGAAGGTCTGGACACAGGCTCATTGAAGGGTGGCCCTTACAGGATGAGCCGTCACACCTCTGGGCTTTCCTTGTCACATTCAAGATATAGTGGGAAGGGAGCTTTCTATGACTTCCCAGCTCTCATTACCAGCAAGAGACAGGGCTAGAGGTGTAACCCATTCCACCCAAAGCCTACTCTCTGAGACACCACCAGGTTTCTTAGTTATTTTTCTCATTGCTGAGACAAAATGCCTGCCACCAAAAGCTAAAGGAGGAAAGGTTTATTTAGCTCAAAGCTCATAGAGGTTTCAGTCCATAGTCACCTGGCTCCAGGGCGGGGTAGGATGGCAGAGGAGGAACAGTTCACGTCAGGCAGAAGACAGAAAAACAAAGCAAGCAACAAGAGCCCACCATCCCTCTTTCTGTTCCTTGTATTTCATCCAGGCAGGATAGGCACTCTTAATCTTACCCAGAACTATGCCAAACCTATTAGTGGACTGATTTAGTAACTACATACTCTTAATCCTATCATCACACACTCTAGATACAGCCACCTCTGAAAATGCCCCCGCCTATGACCACATGAGCCTTTGGGGGAACATCTAGGCACAGGCCATAACAGCAGGACAGTGCTGGAACCCAAGGCTCCTTCCTTTGGCTAGATTGCACCCCAGAGAAAGCCTCAGGATCCAGTGGGCTTCACTCTGTCAGGGAACCCCTCAGCCCCAAAAGGAAAAGCTCTAGACATGTCAGGTGCTCATCAAGGCAAGAGTCAAGTGCCACAAGAAGTCCAGGCTCTGGGCCCAGTCACCCTGCCCAAGGCCTGACATCTTTCTGGGCCCATCCCAGCAAGATACTCCATCTGGCTAGAGTATTTCCTAATCATCTGGCTGCATCAGGAATGCTAAAAACACCTAAACCCTGGCCACGGAGCAAGGTCTCTTGTGACACACCCAGGACCATCTCCATTGGTTCCTTGCTGCCTGCAGAGCTTAGCCCAAGGCTATCTCTCCCAGGGACCCCACCTTGAGAAGGACCCAGCACTTCCCTTCTGCTGGCTGAGGTTGATTCTTGAGGAGAGGGACAGATGGCCCACCATGCTTAGCCTTTCCCACTATCCCATGAATTTAGCATGCTTCCCTGACTCAGTTTATTCATTCCTCCACTTAAAAATACATGTTATGGGAATAATCAGATTCTGGGTACTGAGTAGAAAGGAGCTTCAGGCCTATGCAAATGCAGGGTATGAAGCTGTCATCTCAAGGAACTGGAAGTGGGTTGATACCCCTATTCCTGTAGACACTAAGTGACTAAGAGCAGCTTGCCCTTAGCACACCAGGTTGGGGACCACCAGAGGAAACCACAGCAAGTGCTGTTTTAGAGAGTTCCTATAGGAACCCCAGAAACACAGAGCCTGGCAACAAGACACGATAATCCTGGTGGCATCCAAGCTGAGGCTTGAAGTCCCCAGGTATTACCAGGTGAACACCAAAAGGAAGAGTGTCCCAACTGTAGGAACAGCATGGTGAGCATCTGGAAGGAGAAGAAAAATGCACTGGAACAGCACAAATCATCCTGAGTGACAGAGGGAAGGTGGGCCAGAGGAAGGAGGCAGGGCTGTGGGACTGCCACAACCCTTAGAATCCTCAAGCTTCAGCATGCCAGAATTAACAACCAACATGGCAAGAGAATGGCCCAGGACCAGGCATTAGCTCATATGCTCATTTTACAGACAAGAATGGATCACTAAATGCCAACCACCCAAATAGAACCAAGACTCTCTGGAGGAAGAGAGGTATACCTGGACATATTAGAGCCTTGGAGAGAACCCAGATTGCCAATGTTCGCTTCTTCCTCTGGGCCTTGGGAGCCCCTGAAGCTTCGTGAGTAATAAAGGGTCACAGTAATTTCATCCATTGCATAGTGGCATCTTTGGGCTATGAAATTAGAAATACTCTTGGCAGGCCAGTGTGCAGGAAGGTGGGCCAGGTGGGGCAGCCACCAGTGGTCAGTTCTGATTACTCTGAATGAGCACAGGAGGATCCATCTTATCCTGGAGTCCCCACTTGAATATTAGTCGCTTTTGGATAAATGTAAGTAAGGGACTTATTAGAGTCAGTTGTACCAATTACTGCAGCTTACTTTGGGCAAAAACTCATAAATATGACACTAAAATATATAACTTTCATAGTGTTTTCACCAATTCAATATTTTCATTCCTGTCATAAAATGAAAGCGACATATTAAAACAATGAAGACTCCACCAATGCACATGGCTATGACATTGACACTGGCAGTGCTGTGCTCCTCCTGATAACAGGATGGATGTCATTTCTGTGTCCCCCAGACCCTCTGTGCCTGGCCTGCTGGGTTAAGCAGCACCCAGACACCAGACCCCAGTGGAGCTGCAAGCAGCAGCTAATTTGTACGGTACCGGCTATAAGAACATGATCCAATGTGGACTGATCAGGGACTTTCCCTGGGAGTCTTTTAAACTGTTCTCTGGGAAACCTTCGATCTTTTCTTGTTGAAGGAGCTGTAGGCTGCAAGCTATGCTCCCTGGAGGAGGCCCAACTATGGGGAAAAGGATAAAGACAATGTACACATGGAGGAGAGAGAGCTGGCTGGCCTATGCCTTGGCTCCCTCACCACACGTAGCTTTCACCTCCTCCCTAAAATGACATGGCAACCTTTGCAACAATAGGATGGGATGGGCCACGGTGGAGGCAGGACACAGCTCCAACACTACCTCTGTCCTCAAGGAGGATTGCTGTCCCAAACATTTACACCCTACACAGTTCTGCTGAAGGCCTGGCTGTTGTACCACCTGTCTGTCTGCATCCTTGGAACCAGAAAGAATGCACATCAGCTGACCCTGGGCATGTTACTCACCTCCCAGAGCCACCACTGAATTTGTGAAATGGAGAGAACTGGTAGTACCTTCCAGGGGTTGGGGGGATCTGAAACCAGAAGAGACAGAAGATGGTAGGTCACATCCTTTCCTTCCCCATGCTCCAACAAGATGGAACACTGTGGACTAAATGTGGGAATGTCTCCATATCATGTGTAGGGACAGGGATGCCAGAAATCATGTCTCAGCCATCTGCAAAGAAGCCTGGCCCAGAACTACTTTCCTGAGGCCTACATCCTATTTCAGGGCATACAAAGTCATCCCTGCATACTTAGACCCTTCCTATTTCCCTCCTTTTAGGGCAGAGATCCTGAATCTCCTCCCAGATGTGAACTGATCCCAGTCCATGTTCTGTTAAGAACTGGAGCACAAGGCAGGAGGTTTGTGGTGGGCAACAAGTGAAGTTTCATCTGTATTTACAGCCCGTCCCCATCAGTCACATTATACCTGATCACAATCTCCTGTCAAATCAGTGCTGCCATTAGATTCTCTAAGAGGGCAAACCCTACCGTGCACTGTGCATGGAAGGGATCTTCTAGGTTGTAGAATCCTTGTTGAGAATCTAATGCCTGATGATCTGAGGTGGAGCTGGGTTGGTAATGCTAGCCCTGGGAAGCAACTGTAACTACAGATTAATATTAGCAGAGAGGTCTGACCATAATAAATCAATTGCTTGCAAATTCATATCAAAGCCCTATTAGTAAGTGGCAAGTAATAATTAAGCTGCATCTGCTTGCAGGCTTGAGAGTGGCAGGTGAATTGATGTACTTCAACTGTGCGGCTGAACTTGGTGGTAGGCTGTAAATCAGAATCTGACACTTATTTCAGTCCATACGTAGTGACCCATTCTCTTATTTACTACTTCCATCTGTGCCTCCTTCAACACTGCACACTTTTATCAGACCTAGCCCTCACCAAAATAAGTTAAAAAAAAATGAATATCATTGGAGAGCCTCTTTGAAATGGGAGAAACACCAGTGATGAAAGGGCAGGAGATTCTATGACTGCCAACAAGAAAAGCCACTTTAAAAGAAAATACTAAGATTCCTACTTAAATTGTGAGTTCATTACGGTAGATGGTTCACATTCTCCAACCCCACTTTGTCTAACACGCAGGGACCAGTTAGCCAACAAAGCTATGAAATCTTCAAAACTGCTTTGACACATGGAAACCAAGCACCCTGCATAAAAGACAAACCTTTAGAGATTTTTAAAAATGTGAACACGAAGAACAGAAGCAGTTATTAAAGGCCACCACTTCATCAAATGCATTTGCACTGAGAGCATCACTCTTAATGGCTAACTGCATTGCTGAAGCAAAGGAGCCCTTCACAACAGTGAAGAGTTAATCCTGCCTGCTGCTAAGGTCCTTTGGCATGAACTTTTAGGAGAGGCTGCCATCCAAAAGGTGGCATATGTTTCTCTTTTGGCTGGATCCGTAACTGGATGAATCAATGAAGCAGCAGAAGTTATTGGGGCACAACTGCAAGAGAAGATTAACGAGTTACTGTAGTGTGTACTCCAGGTTGATGAGTCTGCTAATGTTGACAACGAGACAATGCTTTTCTGTGCCGGAGGATGTGCACGTGCATTTTTGTTGCCAATCAACACAATAGCTGCAGAACGTTTGAATACTTACCTACCACGAAAACCCAACTGGTCATTCTGTGCCTGGACAGAGCAGTTGCCATGACATGACAGCTTTCTGGTTTTACTACTCAGGTCAAAGAAGTCACTCCTGCATGTGACTCTATGCCCTGTGTCATCTACAAAGAAACCCTGGCTAGCTGAAAAATGTCACCCGAACGTAACATATTTTGCAGATTGCAATTTAAACTATCAATTACACTAAAGTACATGCTCTTAACTCATGTCTGTTCACACAGCTCTGTGAGATGACCACAGAACACATACATCCTTGTCTCTCTGTCTCTGTCTCTCTGTATCTCTCTCCATAATATATATATATATTTTTTTTTTTTTGAAACAGGGTCTCACTTTGTCGTGCAGGCTGTCCTTGAACTCACTATGTAGTCCAGGTTAGCCTTGAACTCACAGTGATTCTCCTGCCTAATTCTGGCCTCTCAAGTGCTAGAATTCATGTGTACCACCTCTCCGGGCTCACATACATCTCTTGCACACAGAAGTGAGTTTCTAAAGAGTTTTCCAGTTATGAAGACCATTTGCAGAAATTTCTTTTAGAAAAATGATCACCAAAGAACAAAAGCAATTCTGGCCAACAATAGCAAGGCAGAGGGCATCGTAATCCCAGAACTCAAATCATACTACAAAACTACTTTAATCAAGTGATCAAAACAGAATGGTACTGGCAAAAAAACAGATCTGTGATGATACACTTTACTGAAATAAATCAGACACACATGTGTAAATACCGAATAGTTTCTCTGGTGTGGAAAACTAAACATGTAAATAAGGATTAAAAGTTATAATAGATAATGTAAAACAGGAAGAAAGGGGACAGAGGGGAAGGGGAAATGGAAGGGGTAGGGAAAGAAAGAAGGGAATGGAATTAATATGAGAAAGTGAAAAAAATGGAAACAAAGTATTTGTAGATAGTAAAGGAGGGGTTGAAGGGAGGGCAGAGGGATTGGGGGAAAAAATAAGAACCAAGACAGATTATGTAAAGGTACAAGTTTCTGATGATGAATGTCATTGTATTGTATACCTAAAATGCACCCAAGAAATTAATTGTAGAAAAAAACAGACCTGTGGATTAATGGAACAGAATACAAGATACAGGAACAACTCTAAGCACGCTGAATTATGCTGTTTTTGACAAAGGGGACAGACCCCTTCACTGGAGGAAAGATAGCCTCTTTAACACATGGTGCTGGGGAAACTGGCTATCCACATGTGAAAGGTTGAGCTTACACCCATATCTCTCACCCCACACTAAACTAAAATCGAAATGGAACAAAAATCTCAACATTAGAACAGGAATACGTAATCTGCTGGAAGATAAAATAGGTAAAACTCTCAAAGACATAAGTGTAGGCAAAGGCTTTCTGAATAAAACCTCAGTTGTACAAAAAATATTGTTATACCAAGAATCAACAAATGGTATCATATTACATTGAAAAGCTTTTGTATAGCAAAGGAAAAAACCACAAACTGAAGAGACAACCCACAGAGTGGGAAAAATTTTGCCATCTACTCCTTAAAGGACTAATACCTAGAATATATAAAGAACGCAAAAAATTAGGACCCTCAAATTTAAAGACTCAACCAAAAAGTGAGCATCTGAAATGAACAGACACTCTCAAATGAAAAAAATGCAATTGGTCAATAAATACATGAAAAAATATTCAACATCACTGGCCATTTGAGAAATGTAAATTCAAACATTAAGGGGACAGGGATTTAGCTCGGTGGTGCCGCCACCTGCCTTGCAAGCCCAAGGGTCCAAGTTCAATCCCTGGTACAAAAAAAAAAAAAAACATTAAGATTCCATCTCACCACAGAAAAAAATGGCTACCAACAAGAAATCAACCAATAACAAATGTTGGCAAAGCTGTGGGGAGAAAGCAACCCTCCTTCATTGTTGGAAGTGTAAACTGACACAAGCACTGTGAAAATAAGTATAAAAAACTCTATCTGACCTAGCTAGTCCCCTACTAGGAATCTTCCCAAAAGAGTTAAAACACCACACTACAGTGGAGCAGTGCTCCTCTTTCCCCACAGCCCTGCCAGCATTTGTTACTGGTTGACTGCGTGGTAGTAGCCATTCTTTCTGGGACAAGGTGGAATCTCAACATTGTTTTCATTTGCATCTCTTGAACGACCAGGGGTGTCAAACATTTTTTTCCTATGTTTGTTTGCTATTTCTACTTCTTTGTCTGAGAAATGTCTGTTCATTTCAGATGCCCATTTTTGGATTGGGTCTTTCAATTTGGGAGGTCTGATTTTTTTTTTACGTTCTTTATATATTCTAGATAGTAGACTTTGTCTGAGGAAGAGCAGGTGAAAATTTTTTCCCACATTGTGGGTTGTCTCTTTACTGTTGGTCGTTTCTCTTGCTATACAGAAACTTTTTAATAAGAAGAGATCCTACTTGCTGATTTGCTAGTTCACAGGTAACTGAGGTTCTGTTCATAAAATCTTTTCTTACACCAGTGTCTTCAAGACTTCTACCTAACCTCTTTTTCCAGCCAATTTAGTGCTTCTGTTTTAATATTTAGATCTTTAGTCAATTTCAGTTTTAGTTTAGTGCATGGTGAGAGATATAGGTCTAATTTTAACCTTTGGCAAGTTGAAACCCAGTTTTTCCAGCACCATTTATTAAAGAGGCTATCTTTCCTCCAGTGAGGGTGTATGGCTCCTTTGTTGAAGATGAGGTGGCTGAGTGTGCCTGGAGTTGTTTCTTCATCTTCTAATCTGTTCTACTGGTCCTCAGGTCTGTTTCTTTGCCAGTGCAATACTGTTTTTATCACTGCTCCACTGCTGGTGGGAGTATAGACTGTTGCAACCACTGTGGAAACCAGTAAGAAGATACCTCAAAGAACTAGGATTAGAAGTGCCATTTGACCCAGCTATTCCCCTGCTGGGTATCTTCTCCAAAGAATTAAAAGAATCACACCACAGTGATATATGTGCACCCATGTTCATAGCAGCACAGTTTGTAATAGCTAAAACTTGGAAGCAGCCTAATTACCCATCAGCAGGAGACTGAATAAAGAAAATGTTTTTTTTTTATAAAATGGAGTACTACTCAGGCATAAAAATGAGAAATTAGAGACATTTATAGCTAAATGGATGTACATTGAGGCAGTACTCTTTTTTTTTTCTTCTTTTCTTGGTTTCTTGAGATAGGGTCTCACTATGTAGTTGAGACTGACCTGGAGCTCACTATGTAGCCCAGGCTGGTCTCAAACTCACAGTGATCCTCCTGCCTCAGCCTCCCGAGTGCTGGGATCACAGGCGTGCGACACCACGCCTGGCTTGAGGCAGTACTCTTAAGTGAAATAAATAGGACACACATGTGTAAATATTCAATATTTTCTCTAGTGTGAGAAACAGTGTAAATAAGGA